GTGACGGGAGAGCTCATCCGACCGGGAAAACCTGCAGGAGGAAGGAAACATGGTGGATCCAGCCTTCGCTGCTAGACAGGACAGGGAACACGAGGACCCTGGCATGTGGGAGGCTGAGGTCTGCCTCTGCCACAGCCTCTTGGGGTGACCCTAGACAGGTCACTTCTGTTCTGCTCCATCCAATCTACCAGTGAGGCACAGGTACCCCAGGCTCCTGCTGGAGGAATGGAAAGAAATAAACCCCTCCAAGGGGCGATTTAGAGAAAGGAAAGAGGAAAAGAATTCACCTACTGAGATCTTAATTTCTTTCCACAGATCTTAAAGGACAACTACTTCCTTCATTTTAGACTTGCTGAAACCTTTTGGGAGCCGACAGCCCCAAGGCCAGATGCTGAGGGAAATTGCTTTTTGGGGCATCAGCCCAGGCTGGTAGCGACTAGAGGACACCATTCAGAAGCCTGGGTGGAAATGCTTTACTATCACTTCACACATCCAGCCAAGAAAAGCACCACTGTTGAGAGAAGGCTTGTTCCAGATCCAGACCTGGGGGCATCTGCAGCGACTTGGTCCACAGCACTTTTATAAGTGCCATCTCAAAGGTCTCAACAAGGTCTGGGAGCTGGTGTAACTTCAGCATGCTTTGCATGTCCGAGTGTCAGGGGAGTACTGAAGAGGAGGACTGGACAGGGTTTACTCCTGTTCTGTCTCTACGGAGCCGACACAGATGGCAGGAGTATTAGGACGGAAGGGTTTTTCCATCTGGCTGAAACATGCCCACGCAAAGAAGCACAAAGCAAGGAGCTTCAGATGTAACCCCAGATTCCCAGAGATAGGATTTCAAGCTCACACCTGGTACAGTAAATACTGCGGCTGCTCACAAAAGGCTCTGTGAAAACAAAATGCATCCCAAGGCCATCCTCAGGTCTTCCATGCAAACCTCCGACTTCTTTTCCAGCTTTATTGCAAGGAGTGAGTTCCAAGGTCTCAGCTCCTCATAAAAAGCAGGGCCAGAAGAAATGACATACATGTTTACGGTTAGGGCCACGTCTAGGAAAGGGAGCACAGCCGAGTACATCACTCGATAGTGTAACTGCTCCCGCGGAGGGGGACGGCACGACAGCAAGCGAAGCAGAGCACAGAACCCAGTGGACAGCCTGCAGGACGCTGTCGTACGGGCTAGCACCATCTCCTTCCTCCTTCCCAGAGGGAAAAGTGATGCTTGTGTGGTCGACATTGTCCCCTTCCTCAATCCCCAGGCTCTGAGCATCAGGTGTAGAGGGCTACCGCTAAAGTACTGGTTGGTACTGGAAATGGAGCTGATGCCTACAAATGTGTACTGCAGTTACAAGTGAAATGGAAGGACAGTTGCTGATGGCAAAGAAACAGCAACGTGGCAAGAGGGTGTCCCAAAATTCCAATTGGGTCTCATACCTTCCAGAGTTTCACCACACCTGAGACAGAAGCCGTAACATACTATCCAGGGAAACAAGGCAGCGAGCATCTGCCAAAGCATTGCATAAGAAACCAGGAAAGCTCAGTGCTGCCAGCACCAGTTTTGTTTGTGATATGCTCTGAGATCTGCTGATGAGAAGTGCTACACAAGACCTGAGGACTATTAGCCCTTCTTGCCAAAGGTTGTACCAAGCATCCTGCCCCGCAGGACAGGTACGCAGTACCAGGAAGAGAACACCACCACAGCAGAAAAACAGAAATGCAGCAAGATTAAGAAGCAGGGTTAATTTAGGGAACCCAGATAAAAGAAAATGGCAACCACCATCATGTGCAGAGCAAACAAAAGTAAATGCAGCATGGAGATATGCTACAGGCCCACAGGTGTCTGAGGGATACAAGCGGCCAGGGCAGGTTAACAGCAAGAGAAAGCAATGGGTTACTAAACAAACACAGAACTATGCACTGGCTCCTGAGGAAGCAGGGAGACTCCAATTTCCTGGGACAAATATTAATGGGAAAAGCCATTTTTGTAGCCCAACTGCAGAAATTGTCCTGAACGCGACAGAGAAAGCTCGCAAAATTACAATATCGGTTGGAAAAGCTGTATTGCCAGAGGGTGTTTAGGCATCCAGTTAAAGGAGAATTTGGGGTGTTTGGGAGACCGTCAGCTACGCTTCCCCAGCTGGCAGTTTTCAGCACTTTCGGACTGAGTGAAAACTACCCAAAGCACTCAAGAAACTTTACTCCTCCAGGCCTCCTTCCAGCTCTCACCTATAATTCACTCGTGAAAGACGACTTGTGATTTTACCCTGGATTTTCACTAGTCAAGAGCTGTCCTGCATCCTGGCAAGCAATGGCAGGCCTTTGGCAGGGACACCCACTTGCACAGAGTCCCACGGCTCCCACTTACCGCCAGCCACAGTTGGGCCAAGCACAAGTGTAGGGTTTCTCGCCGGTGTGCCGACGAAAGTGAGCCTTGAGGTGGGAACTCTTGGTGTACATCTTGCCGCATCCTGGGTGCGAGCATTTATGGACACGGACAAGGGAAGGGAGAGCTTTCTGATGCTTGGGGGTTGCCTCCATCTCTTGTGCATCCCACCGTGCCCCTGGCCTCATGGTGACTGGCAGGGGGGCAATTTTGACATACTTTTGGTCCATGATGGTTACAGGGGGCTGGACCTGAGGGAGGAAGGCCAGGTTTTGGCCCTGCAAGGTGATAACCAGCTGGGCCACCCTGACACCCTCTGTAGCACTCTGTGTGAGTGGGCTGCCACTGTCCATCTGGAGAGGCTGGATTTGGAGGACAACAGGAATGCTCCCAGCAGCTACTGCCTGGTCACTACCATCAGCTGTCCCTCCAGACTGGGCAGCGCTTGAGACATCTTCTTCTTGAACCACCCTGGAGACAGGTTGTCCCCCAGAGCTACCTAAGCTGATCTCAGATTTGATCTCGATCTTCCCTCCAGCTGGGTGAAGCTCGCTTGCTTCATCTTTGAGGAACTCTGCCTTCTCCCGCAGGAACTCTTCAATCTCCTCCAGGGTGGGAATGAAGTCCTGGGAGAGGCTGCTGCAGAAGTCAGGCAGCTTGAGGTGAGCCTCACAGACAGTGACTTGGGGTTTTGTGTCTTCCCGCTTGGCATTGGACAGGGGGAGCAAGGTGCCTTCAGAGTGGCTGGTGCTGCCTGCAAGGAGATGGCCGGAGCCTTCTGGGTGGCCGGACGCCCTCTCATGGCTGTGCCCCGGCAGGAGGGATGGCGGCATGCTGCGTTGAAGAGCATTGGCAAAGTTCTCTAGCAGGGAAGAGCTGGTCAAGGAGGGTAGCAGCTCCTGGCAACTCACAGAGACCATTTGTTGACTCACGTCCTCTACCTACACAAAGCTCTTGGCTCGACTGGATCAGAAGCCTCTGTAAGAGCTCAGCTGGGGCTCCTGAGGCTGGGGAAGTCTTTGTTCATCTGCAAGGGAACACCACCAAAGTTATTTCCAAATTAAAAACAAACAAGAAAACCTCAACCTGTGAATAAAATGGACCGTGCTTTAGAAAGAAAACATCAAAACTAGTCAGTGGCCTTTGTTTTTAAAGAGTCTGTTGCTCAAAAAACACATGCTAACCATTTTCCTATGCAGGACGCCAACAGGCTGCTTCCCCCCCAGAAGCAAACTTCTTTGGGGAGTTTATTAAGGTAAAAATACACAATGAAACACTTCATCCCTCTTCCACCTACACCAGAGGGCAGGAATGTGCTGCTAGATGGCAAAGAGGACAACTTGTGGCTTACAACTAGGAGTTAATTGAGATCCAGGAGAGGGTGCTGGTTTCTCCACACTGCAAATGTTGGTACAACCACAACCTGATGCAGACCTATCACAGCTGGATTAAAACTAACTAGTTTGGGAGCAGATAACAAGACAGCTCGGAGAGTGCCTTCTGCCAAACTGCTTGGGGCTCTGTGCAGGCACCACAAGTGGTGAGCATTCACCAGCAACCATGCTGCTGTGGTTAAGCTGGCTATCGAAGCCTGAACAAGCGAGCTTAAAGCCAGTTCAGGCAGGTCTGCCCAAGCTCAGTCACACCTCCAGAAAGTATTGCAGACGGGCTGTCTGGGGTCAGCTCACAGGGCCCTTGAGGACACAAACACACATTTCAAATCAGGTGAGAAAGATTACGATATCTCCAGGTTAGGCCTGTGCGGTCCCCAGAAGGTGGCTGGTCTGTCATGATTCAACACACCAAACCCCACAGGCCCTGCTGTGGCTCGCAGGTTGTGAGCACAGTACCTGAGCACCCACTCACTGCGAGACGGCAGCTTGGAGACGGCATCCTGCTCCTGCAACACCCAAATCACCCCAGGCAGCAGGTACTTTTTACCTTTAATGCAGAAAGCGAGTTTCCAAGAGAAAGAAAACCTATGCCAAAGTCCCTTATGAACCTTTTCCAGAGTAAGTGAGCGAGTCCGTGCGATTTCTGCAAAGCTGCAAACCAGTCAAGCCAGTCCTTGTTATCAGTGCTTCCTCAGGGTCCTAAGAGCTGGGGAAGGGAATTTTTGAGAAGCAGCCTGGATGTAATATAAAGGCTTCTCCCCTTAAAAAGAAATAATCCCCACATCATTCAAAATCTGCTAAGCGCAAGATGCCACGGTGCTCAGGGCCATTTGTAGTGCTACCCACAGACTGTCTCCAGCACAACTCTGCTTCAACAAGTCATTTTAAGCAGAGACCATCGCTGCTCACATGTGAGGTAAGAAAGGTGTTTGGGCCAATCTCATCCTTCAGGCTTCAAGTTTTCATCACAACACAAATTCGTGCTCTGAACCATCACCTTCAAGGCAGCACCCAATTCCACTCCTTCCTCCAAGCCAATTTTATGATCTCTTTCTGATCTCTGCTTCTCCAACTCTCATCTCCTCTTTCTACAAGCTTCAGAGGCTAGAAAAGCCTTCCCCCTCTGGCTACCAAACACTTCTGTTTACGTCTTCCAGGGAGTCTTAAAACCTGATTTTCCAACAAGGTCCTGCAGAACAGCTCAGAAGTCTCCATCCCTTCAGTGTGCCCCCAGGACAACTGAATCAAACTAAACTCCTTAGCTCAGGAGCCTCATTTAGTACGTATCTTCCAAATTCAGAGTGAACAGTTCTGCTGAACTAACACCATGAAGAAAAGCACAACCAGAGGGCAGGAAGGTCTGGTGATTAAGCTGCTGGCTTGGGTCTAAGGAGATCTGAGCAGTGTCTCTGGCTCTGCTGCAGACTTCTCATGCAACCTTGGGGCAGTTGCTGGAGTGCTCTGGTCCTCAGTTTCCCTCAGTAAGTGGGGGCAATAGCAACGTCCTACCTTGCAGAGCGGCGCTAAGGGGAAATGTGTAACCTGGTGGGATGCTCCATTACCAACAGACTTTGTAGATGCCTGTTACAGATGTCAGTGCCTCGTCCAGCCAAGGCATTTTTGCAAAATGCATGTCACCAGTGCTGTCACCCCAGATAAGCTACTGCAGGAAAATGGAGACCTGACTTTGGCCTTCAGTGAAGCACACGCAAGACAAGGTCAACGTCCTTTTCAAGCTTCACTTTGCGTTTCTATTCCTATAGTTTTGCAAATCCCTAAGAGCACTCAATTACTGTATGAAATCAGCAGATGTGCAGTTTGAGCGCACAGAGAAAAAGTAATTTGCCCAAGGTCAGCCAACAAGCAGGAGCTGGGAACTCAGCTGAGAGTTGTAACTCTCCACTCATGGCTAAAAAACACGAACAAACACCTGTAACCTCTTCAGTGAATTACATTCCCGTGCAAAATCGGGACTCACGAAACCGTTCAGGACAACTACAACCTGCTAAAGAAGTCGGACACTTACAGCCAGAGCCATGCGTAGCAGGTCCCTCAGCGATAAAGGGATGCCCCGTGCTTCGACCCGGCCAAGGACAAGGGAGCATGAGCAAAGCCTGGCACGACCCCCCCACACCCCACCGCGGGGGTCACACCCGGGAGCGGACTGGAAGCCCCCGGG